CTCGAACCGTAGTCGACTACATGGGAGTCCAGCGACATAGCCATTATACTAACTGCTGGTCCCAAAATTGTCTCATTTATTTGACCCTCTCTATCAAACCGCTACGAAGCAGGAGAAGCAACGCAACCAGCTCATCAATTCACACTCCTCACAAATCTTACAAGAGGGAAGTTACTGGAAGGATGAGCTAAGGAGAGCCCACTAAATTCTGTTCTGGTTCTCCTCCTCTCAGTTACATGTGCTTTGATTTTTGGTCCTCTCATGATGTCCAGGCACTTGTGTCACCCCTGCAAGCCTCCCAGATTCCACTATCACTGGCTCTCCCAGCTCTGAACCCCGTGTCCTTCCCAGCATGTCTTGCAGAAACCCTGCTGCTCTCATCCAGTTCTTACCTGCCCCGGAACAGGCTTGTCTGCTCACCAGAGTCTGGCTTGAATTGCAGCCATGTTCCCTGGATTAAAGTTTACAAGTAAACACCCAACCAGAAGCACAGGCTACAGAGTACTCTGCAACCCAAAGCACTTAAAAAGTCTAGTTATTCTAAGGCCAGCCCATGGTCTGGTGGTTAAGGCCTTTAGATCCCACATGGCCAACTGCATAGTTCAAGTCCTGGACTTGGCAGCTTGAGAAACATGCTGGGCACATGTGCCTATGTGCTCAAAATCCTGAAAGGAGAGAGGAATGGAGGAGAAGGGATTATAGTGTGACCATGTCCCATGGGGTGGGGGGTGCTTGCTTGCTTTTCCCCTCCTACTCTGTCTCTCTGTCACATTCCAGCACCATTTGAACCCTCTGGCACATGGAAAATAAAATGCCAGTCTCTCTCCTGCACTGGTAACTTGTCTCAAGTCCAGGCTCCCAAATAGCACAGCCTTATCCAGTGCTGAGCGTGGTTCTGCCTGCCTCTCCCTCACAGAGTGGGAGATGCTGCTAGGCGGGGAAAGTAACCCTCAGCTCCCTGGTCCCATCCATGTCATTTGTCTCTATCAAGCTGTGGCAGTAGATTTAGAAGCCGCCAGGGATGGTAAGAGAGCTGCAAAATTTAAGCCTTGACCAAAAAAGCTAAATTACTTCATTAACTTCCTCCTTACACAGACGTTAAATGAAGCATTTCAGATCCGATACATCTTACAGATGACATCAGAGACAGGTCTGGGAGCCAGAATGTGCAGGTGGGAGGCAGATGGGCACTAAAGGGTTTTCAGATTTTGGTCGAGTTGTTCCGCGTGCCTGAGACAAAATGAGCATTGGAGAGCAGTATTTGTAGACAAAGACTCCAAAGCTGAAATAGTCCCCAGAAGACACAAGGAAACACTGCAGAGGTGAAATGCTACCAGACCAGAAATTCATTTCTGATTCAGAAAAGGGGAGGAGGAGAAAAAAAAATCCATGCTCAGGTCGGGGAGCCGAGAGACATGGAGCAAGCACAGCCCGTGTGGATAATGTCTAGTTCTCTGCAGGTAACATGGGCCTCCCCACTCACTGGGCATTTCACTGAAACCCAGATGGAGTTGACCTTTAATCAAACCAGCCTAGGCTGACTCGACACAACCATTATGTTTGTATCAGTGCGTGTCGGGCCACTATAGCTACTATCAACTCCAGAGTCCTGAGATTCTAAACACATTCATTGTGTGGTGACATTCATAGGGGCTGGTATTTTCTCTTATCCTACTAAGTTGAGGTTCTGGAATTCCGTTTTGTTTTCTTTCAATTTGCTAGAAGGTGCAGGCACTCATAAGAGAGAGAGATGGGGGAAGGGGTATGTTGGGTGGGGAAGGTGAGAAAGTACCCTCCCAATGGGGCATGGCCATGCCATAATCCCCTCTCCTCTATCTCTCCCTGTCATAATTTTGGGTGCGCACACACGTGTCCTGCGTGTTTCTCAAACTATCAAGTTTGTTCACAAACCACACAGTTGGGCATGTGGGATTTAGCAGCCTTAACTACCTCGCCACCAGCTGGCTTTTGGATGTAAGAAGTTAGTCAATTATCTCCCCAATGTATGGCACAGATTCAAAAGATGCATTGGGACTAGCGGATGGCATAATGGTTACACAGCTGGACTCTCATGTAGTAGAACCTGGTTCGAGTCCTGGACCCGGTGGCTTAAAACTCACTCTGGGCACGTGTGCACGTATTCCCAAGAAGAAGGGACTGCGGCATGGTCATCCTCCCGGGGTAGAAGGGTGATTTCTCACTTTCTGTCTCTCTGTCAAGTACACACACTCCACCACAAAAATCTCTCAAAAAAAAAAAAAAGATGCATGTACATTGTTCTGAGATTTAAGAGGTATGGTCAGCAGGTATAGTGATTAAGGAGTTAGACTCCCACAGAGCTGGCTGTGGGTACAAGTCCTGGGCCTGCTGGTTTGTTTTCTTACTTTCCTTTTTTTTTCTGGTGAGTGTATGTACCCTATAGCAACATCTTGGAAAGTAATAATAATAGTAATAACACTTATTATTACCCAGGGCCAGCAGATGGTATAGTGGTTATGTTGCTGGACTCCCACATGTTTAACTGTGGTTCAAGTCCTAGACTTGGTGGCTTAAAACTCACACTGGGCATGTGTACATGCATGCTCAAAATCCCAAGAGGAGAATGGAGGAGAAGGGACTGCAGCATGGTCGACCCCCCTTGGGGGTGATTTCTTGCTTTCTGTCTCTCTGTCTCTTCAGCGAGTGAACATACCCTATAGCAAAAATCTCTTTTAAAATAATAATAATAAAGGAAATTAAATAAATAATTCTTTTTAAAAAAAAAAAAGAGTTAAGGTGGGGACCAGCAGGTCATGTAATGGCTATGTCGCTGGACTCGCATGTAGTTGACCATGGTTTGAGTCCCAGACCCGGTGGCTTAAACTCACGCCAGGCATGAGTGC